TACCATGGACAGTCATTAGTACATACTCATTTTACGCATGGAAAACTTCAAGTTCAGAAAAGCTAAGAAATTTACCTAAGGTCACATGATTAGTAAAGTCAGAGAAATGTGAATTTATGTCTTAGTTTCTGAAGCCCATATTCCACCATATATGGCTATGATATTTTCTCAAATGAAAAAAGAATTATAAACCTTTTCATTTATGTTTTCTGTCTAGTATTTATATTGTGTTCTACCCAGCTATTCCAAACACCAATGACTTTAGATGGTAAACAAAATTTGAGTCTAATTCTGTAGTCTATCTTGATTGGGGAAACTGTCAATTTCACTTTTTTATTTTCATTATTATTATTTTTTACTAATTACAAGAGTCATTTAATACAAGCTATTTAACTTTTACCCATTCTATTTCTCTTCCAATATAAGGTCACATGATTAGTAAAGTCAGAGAAATGTGAATTTATGTCTTAGTTTCTGAAGCCCATATTCCACCATATATGGCTATGATATTTTCTCAAATGAAAAAAGAATTATAAACCTTTTCATTTATGTTTTCTGTCTAGTATTTATATTGTGTTCTACCCAGCTATTCCAAACACCAATGACTTTAGATGGTAAACAAAATTTGAGTCTAATTCTGTAGTCTATCTTGATTGGGGAAACTGTCAATTTCACTTTTTTATTTTCATTATTATTATTTTTTACTAATTACAAGAGTCATTTAATACAAGCTATTTAACTTTTACCCATTCTATTTCTATTCCAATATTTGTCATTCAACTTTACTGTCTTTTTTTTTTATGCTCATAATTTCAACCAATTGCCTGTGGTTTTTAATGTTGGTAGCTACAAGAATATAAGAATAGTAAAACTCTGCAGGTTTGCTACAGATCTAGATTTTAATGAGAACCAAGGGTAAAAAGGGATAAAAGAAGCACTGCAGTTTCTGAATTTTTCATTTCTCATGGCTCAATTTTCATTTGTTATGTCTGAAACTCATTTTGTGTTAGGCATCATGGCCTGATGCTTGTTTCTTATGCTAGTCTAATCTGCACTTTAAATAAACTATTTGAGTTCTCATCTTGGTAAATGTCAAGAAAGAGAAGATATTTTGTGCACCTACAGCATCCTAAAAACCCTCGCCAAATCCATGAATCTGACTCTGCATTATCCTTCCCCAGAAGGAGAGCATAATTTCATTATCCATGAATCATCACCTCTTAGACTGTAACATCATTGTCAGGGAGCCTAATAGAACCAGTGTTCAGCTGGCTGAAAAGGGGGAGGGAGGGAGAATGCACTGGGGCAAAGCACAGGTCACTGGCACGCTCAGCAAACTTGAGAGTTCTAAAGCCGGAAGGGGAAGACCTCTCTGCCTTACTAGCTCTGATATACCTGCTGATGGACCAATAACTATCTGATACAGATTCTTTCAATATTGATATTGAAATGTTTCCCCCAATCTAAATTACATTATATTTCAGTATCCTATCTACAAACAACATTAACATATTTGATGAAAATATCAGACTATTTAGCCAACATCAATGAGTCTAAGCACATTAAAATATTTCTTTGAAATGTCCATTATTATTGCATTATTATTTTTGCTTTTCATCTTTGTACACTTGTTTCTAGCCATTAGTACCAGTTCTATGGCTCTATTCCAACAATACTAAAAATGTCAATATGTAAAATATAACTTTCAACAGTTATTTTGTAATCATATTTTCTATGGAAAGAAATTAGATACTTTAAATTTGATGTACAGATCAATAAATGTATGTTGTAAACCACGTTTATATAAGGATTCAGGATAAAAAGCTAAAATGTGTAAGAATAGCTGTGGTGAGTCTAAGTTGCCACTGGAGGTCACTGCTGCTCCACAGAAATAGAGTTTATTGCCTGTCTACTTAGGTAGTTGACTCACCAAATCAAGTAAAAAATGGTTTAAATTCTTTGAAAAGATGTAATATCAACATCCTTGAAAAATACAAACTAATTTAAAAGGAATATATCTTGCATAAGTATTGCTTAGATACTGTAGCAGTGGGACTATTAACTCCATACCGCAGTAGCATTTTGTGTACTGGGGCTAATAAAAATGGAAAAACACACAGACACACGCACACACACACACACACACACACACATACACACACGCTGTTCAGAGAGACTAAACTCCATTTTTCTCTCTGCTCGGTAAAGCATTCGAAGTACTGACTAAATCCATTCTGTATGAATGTGTCTCTGTTGTATGGTTCAACAGGTCAGGCTCTTTATTTAACTGTTGTCACCCTTGAAGGAAGTCAGATATTTCATGGAACTTGAACTTGAAAAATGAATATCAATTGCATTTCTCTAATATTCAATGATTTTGAAATACTTCTGAGAAAAGATATATGACTTATTGTCCAGAAAGTAGCATGGGTTGAAGGTGAGAGCAACAACTTTTGATCAGAAGAACATTTACCATTTGGCTTTCTTGAATTTCCAATGAGGGACTATTATTGTCTAACCTATGTGAGTTACATATTTGTGCTCAGAAAATACTGAGTCAAGAAGCTTCATTCCCAAAGTGGAGGTGGTGGTAGGAGGAAAGAACTTTTTTTTCCTAATGTCATGTCCTGAATCAAAATGAATTTTACCATCTAAGGAATTTTATTTTGATTCTTATCTGTTACTTTATAAGTAAAGTTAGGCATTTAAAAAAATGACCAGTCAAAATGTTGGTCATTCCTTTAATCTTATATCCTTGTTTTTACACACCAAGTATCTTTGAATTTTAGAAATAGTTTTCAGAAGCAAACATGTTTCAAACACACTAGTAGCACCACAGCATCAAGAATTTGCAAGAATTCAAAAATGTAAGTATAAACGTGCCTTGCCTAAATATATTTGCTACCTAGCACAAATGAGGCAGAAGTTCAAGTCAAAGAATAGAAATGGGTTTTTTCACTTTAACACTGCATTTAATTAATACAATCATCTTTAGTACATATAAAAATGAGGATGACCAAAGAAAATTTATTTTTTTAGATGGAATATGTATTCTCTAGCACTTAATGTGAAATATAAACTTACAACTTCAGTGAAAAACATCACAGTAAGCTCATCACCCATTTCACAGTACTGTAAGGAAGAATCTGCATTATTAATCAATTGGGAATATGTGACTATTTACCAATAGTAAGTGTATATTCAACAATTATTCATGGGAAAACATTGTAGCCATGATGCTTTTCTGAACTGGTATGTATTTTAAGATTTAATGAAAACCAAAGTACCTTGAAAAATCCACCTCTAATGTTTATTACTTATCAAAGTATGATTTTAATAATTTGACTTCCTTACAATGATATTTCATGGTGACCTGTCTAGATTTTTCCTTTCAATATATGAAAAATCCTCCAAACTATATAAAAATCCTGGTAAAAATAATCACTCATTTTTTTTTTCTTTTCTGCTGCAGCAATTCTGTTTTGAAAGAACAGAGACATTAGTTAAAGATATAGGACTTGGCAAGCTAAATTAAATGAAACAGTGTCAATGTTGCAATTCCTGATTTTTGTTCCTATAATAAAATTGTTCATTTTGGAGGTTGAAAAAAGATACAGCCTAAAGATATTTTTCTAAAATCTTAATGGACTGGGGTTTTAGTTACTTAAGTACAGAATCTATGATATTTGTGCTGCAGTCAATAAACTTTCACCAGTGACATAAAAACATGCATGTACCTTGCAGAGTGCCAGCAAGGTCTGTACAGAATTGTACTAATGGATGAGTTCACAATACAGACAAACACAGGGACACAGTAATGTCAGCAACAGAGCAAAAGAGAACTGTCCCAGCATTGGTCCTTTTCCTTTATTTTTTTACATTTAACTGAGTTTTATCAAAGTCATCCTTTTCAGTGAGGCTGTTGGTGGAAAGCATGTTTTGGAATGTGCTCTCTTTACACACCTGATAAAGTGTTGGTCATTAGAGGAGGACCGGTGGATACAGGCACATAATGGAACACAACAGGACAGTGTGACAAATCATGGACAGACTAGGACAAAACTAATGCTTCCACTCACTACCTTAGGGTCTTTGAAAAAGCTGGAAAGGGAAATTCTAGTGAGCTCCCAACCACATACAGGTAGCAGGCTGCCTTGCCATTTGCAAACCTCTTCTGGAAAACTCTTTAATGTGAAGAATGGTGGAGAAATCTGCCTTCTTACATTTGCCTCTTGGCTATTTAATTTATTTAGGAGATGTGTAGTCTTGACAGTGAAATCTTTAGCCTGATTTTGCGGGCATGGGTTTCAAAGACAAGGCCTCAAGTCTAAAACTTTGTATTTTTATCATCTCTTCACATTTTGCAGTTGTCTACTCACAGCATTTTAACCCTTCAGCACTTTTCCCCTACACTTGCCTTATTGTAATTCACACACCTCTGGAATCTGCAGTAACCCAGCGTCATTTCTCGATAGTTTCCGGAAATTTTCCTCTTAAGTCAGGCATTGTTTTAAAGACTCTGTCTCTAAAATGTTCCTATAATCAAGTCATCTCCTAGAATCATTTCAAGCTCTAAGTGCCTGGGATTATTCACCTTTTTCCTTGATCTGCCAATGAACAGCAAACCTTCTAGAACTGTGGATTTAGTCCTACCAGAAAGAATAACAGCAGGTGTGGGGGATTACTTATGAAAGAAGTTTTATCTTAAAACAAATGTGATATTAATGGAATCAATAAAGGGTCTTATACAATAGGCATTATATTAAACCACAGTTCAAGCTTCACATTGATTGTGGTATTTAAATTTCAATGGGTTGATTATGTATGAGAGGAAAATGACCAGCATTATGAATGCACTAAAACGGACAGGGAAGGACCTTGCCAGCAAAGTGAGAGGGAAGGAGAGGGGAGCACCGTGTTCCCTTTATAGTCGCCAGAGTTCAATAAAGCACCACTTATTTCCCAGCTTTTAAGAGCGCTTTGCATCACAATGGTCATACCTCACACTCCCTGGAGCCTGATTTGTTATAGGCGCAGGGTCCCGTCCCATTCAGCAACATCTCGCTGGTCTCCGTGTTGGTGGGTTTATAATCTACATAAAATTCCTGGGTGCTGGGAGTCATTTGCTTTAGGGACTGTCTTTTCTTTTTCCTGTGCCTTCGCATGAGGGAGCGCTGCTGCAGCTGCTTCATGCTCGCAGGGTACCGCTTCCATGACACGTAGATAACGAGCAGGATGACGAGCACGGACAGGAAAAGGGCCACGCTCCCCGCGATGATTTTATGGAAAGAGATGTGCTCGGCGTCAGCATCGGTCTCTGGGCTGGGCTCTGTAGCTCCTACCGTGGGGGGTAGAGGGGGCTTGCTCTCATGCTTCGGCCTAGGGAGCTTGGGTTTAAACGTTGGCTTTGGGAGAGCCCTGGCCAGGTCAAACCTCTCCGTGGTACTTTTGCCACAGATGCTGTAGTTCTTTACTGCATCAATCACATTTACCCCTTGCAGCTCTTTGGGACTGGCACAGATAATGGTATTCTCCCTCAGACCTTTAAAACTTTTCAGCCAGTTTACCAGGGAACAAATATTTCTGCTGCATTCCCATATATTCCCGGCAAGACTGATGTCATTGAGAGATATCCAAGAATCCAAAATCTCTTGACCAATAAATGTGAGCTTGTTGGAATCCAGGTTGAGGCGCTGCAGATTCGGGACACACTGGAAAACACTAGGTCCACTAAAGGCTTCAATCTCATTGCCTGATAAATCAAGCCTTTGTAATGAGCTCCAGGTCCAGGACATGGTCTGTCCTATGACACTGATTTTATTCCACTGCAAGTAAAGGTTCTGAAGGCTCACCAACCTTGGAAAAAGGGCCAGGTTGAGCTTGGAAAACTGATTGTGCTCCAGGTGAAGTTCTTTGAGTCTGATCATGCCAGCAAAGACATTCCTGGCTAAACTTCGGATCCTGTTATATCCCAGGTCCAAAAGTTCCAGGTTGCGGCAGTCTTGGAATATTCGCACAGGAATGGTTCTCAAGGAGTTAGACCGTAAATGTAAACTCAGCAGCTTCCGCAAACCCCGAAACTGTTCAGATCCCAGAGAATGCAGCTGATTATAGGATAGATCCAAGTTCCGTAAATTTGTCACAGGTCTGAAGGTATTGTTAAGAAAATAGGAGATTCTGTTGGAACTCAGAATCAACTCTTTGAGTCTGCGTATTCCATTAAATGCATTCTCATCAATATTGCTGATATGGTTATGGTCAAGGTATAGCCAGGTGAGCTGGTTGAGCCCTTTAAATTGATTATACTTAAGTTTTTGAAGGCTGTTATAGCGAAGTGACAAACCTAAGCAACCAGCAGATATACTTGAGGGTATCTCCTGTAATTTCTGAGATTCACAATATACCATTTTGCCTTCACACCTACAGCCCTTAGGGCATCCTCGTTCGGCAGAAGAAAGCATTGTCAGTAAGACAGTGGGGGCTATAACCAGTGCTACAGCTGATCCGCTCAGTAGCCTAATTACATTGAAACCTGGAAATAAAAACAACTTAGAAAAGTTATCCCCCCAAAAAAGAATTCATTTTTTAATCAATTGATAATAGGCATGTGTTTTCATTTTTTTAAGAATATAAATCTAGATAATAACAGTTAACATCAAATATCATCTCTGAAATTTAAAGAGCATGGTTTTAGGTTGTTTTTTTTTTTTAATAGTTAAACAAGGAAATGTGTCCATTAAGCAATTGAATTTATAGTCTTACAGCAGAGCAAGGTAATTAAGTAATTAAGACAAAATTATTATAACAGACTAGAGGATTTTTGTTTGTTTTTTTAAAGAAGGAAAGAAGAAAAATGACAAAACATACCCATCCTTTGTATTGTTCAAAGGTCGTCCTTAGGTCTTTTGCTTTGGCTTAGGGGGCCACTTGCATGACAGCCCCTGTCAGCTGCACTGTAGTGAGTCAGGGCTCGCTGACACCCAGGAAGAAAAATTGGACCCCTTGGGAGATGGACCGATTTTGGAACATTATTCTTTGCCAGCCACGCAGAACACTCCAAGAACAAATAAATCCCAACACCGCATTCGCAGCAAAACATCAAAATCTTCCTAGGTAATAGGATCTTCATGGATATTACGTTTTTGCATCTTTACAGTTTGGAGGGGGGGTTAAAAAAATTGGCTTCTACAATTTCTTCTTATCGGAAAGCATAATGTATTCCTCCAGGCAACGTGGGGCTACCTGAGCTGCCACATCTGTATTCCATAGCCCAGCAGTTCCCGTGGTGAGCACCCAGTTCAGCCACGGAGCTGCGTTGGAGCCCAGAAGGCAGGAGAGCTCTGTACCGTGCACACGCTCAGCTCACTTCTGCAGACTGTCATTCTGAAAGCTGCTCGGACTGTTGCTTTGGTTTCAGTGAATGCAGTCTTATGTAAAGCTGCCCCCAGTGGTGAAGAACATTATGGGCATGTGCAGAAATGTCTCTCTTTTATCTTGCAAATGAGCAGGCTCTCTGCTAGAAAATGAATGATTCTTTTGGGTGGCTCAATAGGAACTGAATGGTCACCGTAATCAATAACTAGCAACATTTTCTGTGATTTCCAAGTCTTGTTTTACAATTTGGCAGCCTCTCTATTGTCTGTCTGCTTAATCGCTAAACATGTGCTGCCCAGAGTTTTTCTGGAGCTTGACATTAAGTTCATAGACCAAATGTCAATTTTTCTTAACCTCAACATAGACTTTGAACTGAAATTTATAAAATGAATTATTGAACTTTTCACAGAGAAACATTAATTGCCTATCCATTTGACCTCTTGAAGTCAGTGATTACATTATGCAAGGTGTCTCAATGGTAGAATATACATATCTAGAAGTAAAAGAGATAAGTAATTTAAAGTGAATTAATGGGCTCAATAGCTTTTCGAGTTTTTTGACTGCAAGATATAATTGTTATGGCTTATGGTTTGGTTTGTCGTTTTGGTTGCTTTTTTTTAATTATAAGAGAAATGAACCATTTTTAGTGCTAGAATGAAAATCAAGAGATCATTTTGTTCACAGTTTATTGAAGCTGCTGCTACTTATTACACAAGTAATATTTATTGAGCACTTTCTAAGTGCTTTAAATGGGCTATCTTGTTTTATCTTTAGACAACAGTATGATGTAGGTCCCTTTATAACCTTCATTTTAAAGGTGAATCAATTGGGATTTGAAGAGGTAACCTACTCAAGGTCATATGGCAACAGATGGGAGAACTGAGATTCAGAACCAAGTTGTTCTTACTCTTGAACCTTCCTAACCACTAGATTATCCCATTTAACAACATTGTCATCTTTACTTTAAAAATGAGTCAAACATACATTAAGGAGTAGGGTCAGGAAGATGTAGTCGACAAATTCTTGTTTTCTAGAATAAAATAGCATATTCTTCTTTGATCTGAGGCTCCTAAAGAAGTATTATAAAAACTGATTTGGAACAATTGCATCTAGTGATTAAGAGTACAGGTTTTGGTAGGTCCTGTTCAAGTCCTGGCTACAATTCACCAGTATGTAACCATAAGCAGGTTGTTTATCTTTTCTATATCTCCATTTTCTCATCTGCCAAATGGGCATTGTAAAATATATTTCATAGACATGCTCTGAGAATTAAGTAACCTTAATATCTGTACAGCACTCAGAGCAACATGTGGCACATGATAAGCCTGTATTAGTTATTGGAATGATATGAATCGTACTGTATTTGCTGGCATTGTATGCTGTATCATTTATATACTGACGATTCTGTCATTAACTCGCAAAAAAATACCTCAATGAACATATTTTATATTGTACACAATGGATTTCTGGGACTCAATCTTGTCTTCTTTTTCTTTCTCTTTTTTCCTTTCTCCCTCCCCCCCTTTAATTGTCGGAAAGGGGTGTGTGTTTTCCAGAGAGAAAGAAAAAGCACTCCCACCCCCACCCCCCAGTGAGGTGTGACCACACCACAGTCCCTTTCTTGCTTATCCACATCCTATTGAGTTTTTGAGCATACTCAAGTGCCTGGTGTGTTTTTCTTTCTTTCTTTTTTTTTTTTTGGGGGGTTTTTGCTATAGGGCGTGAGTGCTCACCAGACAGAGAGAGACAGAGAGATAAAAAGCGAGAAATCACCCCCCAGGGGGGATGGCCACGCCGCAATCCCTTCTCCTCCATTCTCCTCTTGGGATCTTGGGCACGCACACAC